AGGCAGGAAGTTAGCTAAGATAAATGTTTGAGTCCATTTTTTCCCCCATTGTTTTCTCTTACACATTGTGTCAAAGTCGAAACTCTAGCATTATGGCAATACAACATTTCAGAACATAAATGTCACCGCAATTAAGATCGAATTAATAATGCACGAACAATAGTTTGCCATCAGTTCAAGGGAAAGTAAAAAAACCCTCCAAATCCTTGAGAGCCAAGATCTTTAGGTCATGCATGATTCATTAAACACACACTTACTCATCCTCTGTACAGAGCCTGCTCTCATGACAAATAGCAGCTTTCAGTCTTGCTGACTTCTCGTAACTACTCGGAGGACAACAGTGTGAACCAAAGTCAGTTTTTGGTGCATTGAGACAACTATCAAATTAATTCTAGAGAACTGCAGATATCCCCAGACAAAGTAACTTTTCACATGGTTTTGGAGCAGAAAATGTGCCCACCGCATATTAATTTACTTTGACCTACTAAAATCTGCATGGGGCTCCTATTCTCTTAGTGCTTTCCCCTCTGTGGTTTACCATAATAGTAATGTTTTTATTCAGCTGATACAATTATCCTAGCATCTATAAATCTAAATTATTTTTTCCTAACCATAAACTTTATTTGCACTTTTTTCCTGTTTTGTTTTATTTTATTTTTCTCAGCCAGCCTGCAAATCAAGCCAGGTCTGGTGAAGATAATATGGCAGATAACTCATTTTTATTTCAACCATTGTGACAATGGAGTACTAAAGATTATTCCCAACTTCAAACCACCTATTGGAGATTCAAGTATCTTCTTTACAGGGATTATTTATTCTGAACGTAAAAAAAACGTAAAAAATGTTTACCCAGACATGTATCATACACATTTATAAAGGTATATTCCCTGATATGCATCTAAAGAAGATAAAGAAAAGAAAAAAAGAGGTCAGACAAAGTTTAATTACAACAAACAAAACACTGGTGAGAAAAGGAATGTCGCAAGCAGTGACTGATTTAGATGATCTGATTCCATGGAGGCTCCATAGCCTAGAGTCACAATGGACACAGCATTATCTCCCATCAGCATTTCGTAATGATGCAATCTAATGATCTCAACACACCTTGGAAACATTAACATAAACTTCCTGGTGAGGCAGACAGACTAGATGAACACTAATTTTATTGGATCTTTCAGCAGACTTTAGTACAACTGATGCTGAGGATTCATTTGCAATACAGTAGATCCTCAATTTTATGAGCACCAATCTTACAAAAGATCAATTACACTGGTCTACAATTTTTGAGAAGTCGTCTGCTTCAGAGATAAAATGTGCTATTTATTATGTATTTTGATGTGCTGAATTCAAATATGACAATTAAAACAACTGATTGGCTACTGTTTCTAAGTTTTTACATTTTATGTCTATGTATATTGTGTAGATAGTAGAGTTTTAATCATAAATTGTAAACCTAGTTCTTTTCATGTGTTTATGATAATGTTTACATGATAATATTTCACCTGTCCTGTTTATGTAACACTTTAAAAATCAGCAAAAGGGTTATAGAAATAAAATTTATTATGAAAAAAAAGGCAAAAAACTATTATGTACATAGTTTAGTCCTATTCAGTGTCTACTCGGCGCTTCTTGGCTTGTCTCTTGTATTCATTAAATGGAGCATCTCTTGTCCCTGTCCAGCAATAGTCTGCAAGCATTGATGGGCTCCATTTGCCCTGATAGCGTTTCTCCATTGTTGCAATGTCCTGGTGAAATCGCATACTGCACTATGATTCTGTGTTCTCTTTGCTTCCACACTGCTCAGCGGCGATAGGGCTTTGGAAGACAGATGACTTACCTTCAATACAGATAAGATGGAGCTGACAATGGTGGTTGGAAAATAGATCATGAGGGAATCACAAAGGCTATAATGACTACTGCCTCAGCTTAGAGGCCTTAGCAGATTCCCCAAAAACAGTTACAAGTGTTTAACCATCTTTGGCTGGCCAGAGACTGCAGACCTTGTCACAGTACACAGGCCTTTCTTACCTCTAGGCTGAACAACTGCAATGTGCTCTATTCAGAGTTCCCACAGGAGACCACTCAGGAGCTTCAGTTAATGATGAACGTGCCCACCCATCCTTTCTCAGAGCAGGATGATATGAGCATATAGCATCTGTGTTTCATATTCTATGCTATCTCATAATATGCTTCCAAGTGCAATTCATGGGCTTCATCCTGGTGGCTTAGGACTGTGCTTAGCTCTAAGACCGCCTCTACTTCAATACAGCACCAGGATATTAGTGATCAAACAGAATGCTCTTGCTGTTTACCCTCAGGGATGAATGCCAGGGGCAGATGAGCCTTCCCAGTGGAGTGGACATATCTCTGGAAGTTGCCTCCTCCGGTGTGCCTGTCACAGCTCACATCTGGCCACTGCTAGGACATGGGGCAAGTTAGTTTAAAAATAAAATAACTGCAGCGTTCTCAGCTAGGTGAGTTTTACTGGCCAGTGTGTGATTTAGGACACAGTCAATTTATTAGCTCTTCAGGGATGATGCGTTTGTGCTTTAATTTAATGGTGCACGAGTAGGGAGCTATGGAGAGGCAGCCCCTACAAATGCCTGTAATAAATGAACATGTGTGAATGAAGTAGTAAGAGCTAGATTTATGCTGCTGCATTTCATATTCACAGTAAATACCCTAAACTTGCAGGAGTCTGGATCAGCAATGTAGATTTGATTTAAAATCCCATATATTGGGAGGCCAACCAACAAATTGAAATAATAAGACAATAGAAAAAACACAATAGTGTTAGTTAAAGAAAGCAAGTATCCCAATGCAGCAATATTCTACAGCAGTAAGAAGAAGTCTTTACTACCTTATGTGATGCCCTGCAAAAAGCAAACGGATCATAGTGATTTTAAATTTCTAGGAGCAGACAGAAGGAATCGGTGGTCACAGTTCAGTCACAGAGATGGGAATAACAGTAAAATCGGTTTCAGTGCCAGAAGCTGCTCTTCAATTTTCTGGAAATACACATGATCTGTTCTGAGACACTTACCTTTAGAGTATGGGAAGGCGCATGCATGGACTGGCTGAAAGAACTAAATGAATGAGTTTACCATCTCATCTCCACTGCACAAGCACCTCAAGTGACATTGTGCAATAGAGCCATGAGGGACAGAGCCATCATGTAGCCTCAAACACATTAAAAAGCACTTACTGAAACCAATAAAGAATGCAAAAAGAATAAAACCTATGTAATGCCACAGGGAAAAGTGTTTCTTCTAACAGGCTCAGAAGAAATGTTGAATATGAAGAGATTTGAAGAGAGAAGCAAACTTTTGAAAGAGCACTACCAAAAGGCTCTGTATAAACCCTGAAACTGTTTCCCCCCAAAATCCCCCAACCTCGACCTTGGGACTCCCCCTCTCTTGCTCCGGAACTGTGTGGGTAACACTACAGACTGTTCCTGTAACAGCTGCATTGATAGATTGATACTGTATTGATAAAAGTGGTTGAACCATGTCCTGTCTCTGGCTTTGCAACCCAGGAAGACTTGGAGCAAGTGCAAAAACCACGGGGAAAAGGGTATTTGCACCCCTTAACTGGCACTGAATCCAAGCAGAGGCCTCAGTTGCAAGAACACCTTCCAGATCAAGAGGGAACACTGGGTTGAAATTCATCCAACTCACTTTACAATTCTGCATTTTCCACTTGAAACTTCAGGGGCAAACAAGAATGGAAAAAGGCTGGAGTCACTTTGGAAAGAACGTTTCCAGTCTTCAGAACTAAAATGATTAGCATCTAGCCTTTGCTGAATGTAAGGTAAGATTCATGGGCAGTGGGGAGGATGAATCTGAAAGCTTTTAAAATACTTTTAAAGCAATAGAGTGAAATGCTGAACACGGACTATTCAAATTAACTAATCTAGTTTATGCCTTGCTCTTCACTGTACTATATACTACTGTAGGGTACTTAATGGTTTGTGATTGTTTTTTAATCAATTTATCTCTGATAAAAGCTTATTGTATTATACCTGGTCATAAAAGTAATATTATGAAAGCCCATCAACTTAAGGCTAAAAGTTCTTTAGTACCACATACAGAAGTTAGGGTATGGTTGGCAATAAAAAGGCAGAGAGGTGGTGGTGAATAGGTTCCCAACATCAGGCAGTTTTTCAACAGAGAGATAATGATGCTTCTGACACAAGAGGTCTGAAAGAGTATCAGAAATGGCAGATAAAACCCAAAACATACTGTACGTAAATGAGGACACTGATTGACATACATTCTGGGATAAAAGAATGGAGTGCTCTTTAATAAAAGCAAACACAATGATTGGGAAATGATAAATTAAGCTGTTATAGGTTGAAGAAATAATTCCAAAATGAATATTTGATCTAGTATGTGGCCTTTGTACAAGGCTTTGTAAAAAAAAAAAAAAAAAGGCACATTTTAAAAGACAGTGATGCAAAGAAGATAGCATTCCATGAGAGTATCTGGACCACATTATAGTAATAAAATCTGAATACTACCAATTTAAAATACATTGGAATAAATGTTTAAATAAAAAAACAGTAAGGTCCACAATATCCAGCCAATTATACCAAAAACAAGGAGTACAAAGGATTCCAACTAAGGTCAATGATTAAGGGGGAGAAGAGCCAAAGACAAACCTGCTACAAGTTGATATATTTTTTAAAAGCCTAATACCAAACCAGGGCCAGATTCTTAGCTGGTATAAACTGATGTAGCTCCACTTTACTCAAACGAGTTAACCCCATTTACCAAATATGAGAAGGTGACCCATTTTCCCCATTCAATAGACAAGAATATTCTACTCTTGTTTTGATTCATTTTTAGGGCTACAGTTTTTATGAAATGCATAGTGCTTCACCATCCTGACATCTATTCAGTAAACTACAAGAACTTTTAATGTGTAATTACACTGCTCACTGGTTACTACAGATTTACAAATGTATTTGATTCAGCATGATGCAATTGTTAAACATTTACCTTTCGTACTGAAGCCAACCGATTCATCATTAAAGATTCTTCTCTGTCATCATCATCGTCCAAGTCTAGCATGGGCATACTAAAACTATCTATAATACTGCAGCACCTGGAGTTTTCATCCCTTGGATCAAAAGGGTCTACAATTATTGGTTCAGTTCCTTTGATTTCACATCGGCAGAAAGGACAGCCCTGACCATCGGATTCCTGCACAAAAACAAAAGTATTCTTTTAGATAGAGGGTCATATTCTTGTTTATGCTAAGGTCCCTCTATTGGATTCTGGCAATGTGTAAAGAGGTCTTGGTGCAAATCAGAAACACGTCCACAGATATTTTACTGGACAAAGTAATTCATTCCACTAGTGGCCTGAATTTTATACATACATACATATACATTTCATAAAAATAAATATATTTATATTTATTTTAACATGGTCATTATTGCAAATGAGTTTTTTTTTTTAAAAAAGTTGACTTTTAAATAAAATAATCATCAAAACATAACAATTCTCTAAATTGTTAACTTAAAACCACCAAAATGCCAAATATAACACTTTGCCTTTTAGGCTTACATTTCAATGCTCATTCACAGATAGACATCAGAAAATCCAAAACCATAGTTCTCAGTGATGTTTGACTGCATTGTTAACAAACACATGAACAGAAGCTTTTCTGTTTGTTAGCTCTGCAAGAAATTAGATGAAGAGCTTTTCATACACATGATTTTTGTGTGTCAATCATCAAAATCTTTGATAAAACATCTAAGAAATGCCAAGGTAGTATGCCAAGTGGCTTTCAAAAAGCCAGATTCTGTTTGCCTCTCTCATTGGAGTAATCCCATAGACTTCACTGGTGAGTAAAGCAAGCAAGATTTGGCCCTTCAATTTTTTAAAGCTCTAACGGACAAGATCACATTACAGAGTAGTAGTAAAAGTAACTAAAAAAAATAATTGTTTTTGACTGGCATGATGCGTATGTGACCACTACTGCATTGTATTAATTCAGATCTGCATCTGAACTGTAGAAGTCGAAACTAATTTGATTTAAATTCAGAAATTATGTCAAGGTTTCAGAGCTTCCTATCTATAATTTTGACACCTTTTATTTGTAATGTTAGATAAAGAGTTGGCTAAAGAGTGATAAGGGCATCAGTATTAACTCATCGCTTACAAAACACTATCCTGAAATTTCAAGCAAGCTCAATTCAATTCTTAAGGATGAAAGAACAGACCTTATTTTATCTGGCAATACTTTACTGTAGCCTATAGTCTGTCAACATTAGTACTCTGACTAATGCTTTACAGTCTATCAGTGTACCACCCCTTAAGGCACGAAAACTAGAGTGCTGCATCATGACTGCAGTAACTTTTTTCCCCAAGTGCTTCCATTTACAAGCTTAATGCTGAATTTCACTTCTGTATCTGAAGATCCAATACATTAATTACTATGGGGAGTAGGCATGTTACTCACCGACTAAGCAGAGTTATGTAAAGCAAGCATGTATACTTATCCTTTAATGCGAAATAAAAAATAAAAGACTTTCATCCTTGTCCTATTTTCTGAGATAGTATCCCATACATTTCTTGATTTATTGGGCTGACATCAGTACTAGGGCCCAAAACCCTAACCAATAGTTTAAACACAACTTCATTTCGAGGGAATCTCTTTTGTGGTTGGATCTATCATGCATTCCTTTTACTTTTCTAGACAACTAACATGTTGCAGAGCAGCCCCCCCCCCTCCAAAAAAAGTTTAATTACTACTCTGTTTTCTCTACCTACCAACCAATGTCAGTAGTTTGCACAGTGGACTGTAGACACACTATGTGCCCCACCTAGTCAGGGGATGCTTCCGGTCAAACTAGTTTCTCTTCGCCAAGCTAACTAAACAGTACAAAGTGTCAACATTTTTCATGTACAAAACTGCACATGACCATTGTGTTGCTGAATACGAGCAAAGACTTTTTATGAAAACTTTTAATATTAATATACTGTACAAAGTAATACATGCTCATAGCATTTACAAATTCAACGTGCAAACCCCTATTCAGGAAGATATTTAAGCACCTACCTTTAAAAGCACATGGAGTTCTATTGAAATCAAAGCTCCTACTTGTGAGCTTGAAGTTCAGGGTGTGCTTACATATCTTCCTGAACAGGGTCCTACAGACCCTAAAATTGAACATCTTTCTGACTGCAGTCAGTTATACTATAAAAATATATGCCACAAAACAAAACGGTTTTACATAAATGCTAATACCAGGAGACACAAGTATGGTGCATCTCGGAAATAATCAGCTAAGGAAACTGCCTTGAAATATGTAGCCTTTCACCTTCAGAACACTGGTTTCAATCGAATCCAATCTGTGTTGAATGTAAATTGTCATCTAAGTACCACTGGGCTGCCTTTGTGAAATAAGTTGAACTAATTACTTCTGATAGCATTTGTGGCCATATCACAAAAGAAACCATCACAATGGTCATCATTGTTGAAAGTCTGAGGAGAGATGCTATGAACTGCATGGACCTACAGTGGTTACCATTATACAGTCAACAGAAATATCTCCCTAGGGCTAGCATCCCTTGCACAGTTATACCATAGAAGTAGCCCTACAGAACAGGGTTGGTGCATGCTAAAATGGCAGTGCTTGTACTGTACTTGGCTTGTCAGAGAATTCCATTTTCCATGACTGCCAGTCTGCCCTCACCTTTTCCAAAATATTAAATCATGTCTAGTAACACAAAAATAAAATTACCATCATCCGAGCTTTGCATGCTACAATAGTAAATGAAAACAAGAAGTGATATCTACAGGCATACACATGCCAAAATATACCTACCCATGCATAAACATGTATGTAGCTATGTTATTGCAAAAACTGAATATGCAGCTCCCATACTCTGCATAAGTTTAGACATGATGCAGAATAAAGCAATTTTGTATACATATATACTCCTAACAGAACAGACCGTTACAGTTCAGAAAAAATAGTTTTCTGGGGGGAAAGAATTGTTAATGACCCTTTTACTGTCTGTGTAATGTAAAAGTAATAAGCTAAATTAAAGATTCCCAAATAAAAGACTGTTGCAAACTGACTTCCACTGTATCATGTTTAGCATTCTATGAAGATTTGAAGTTGCTTATTCAATTTATTAAATAACACAGATGTTTCACTATGAGGGGAAAAAAGTATTGGAAATCTCTCCTGAGGCATGTCTAATGAGCCATTATGACAGCAATTAAACACTAACCCACTGGCAGCCTGTAACAACTGACATTGCTACAGTATGTTTCTTCATCTTCTCATTAATTATACAGGAGTTAAATCTGCAATGAAGTTTGATTAAATTGAAAATGTAATTGCTAATGGAAGAAAAACCCAGTGCTCATTTTTTCATTAAGAGTTGCCTTGCTAATGATTACACTTCAGCTGGGAATCTGAAAAAGATTTCTGATCAGATTTTGAGCCAGAAGGAGCTCCACTGAAGTTAGTGGAGGTATGCCGGCATAAAACCAATGAAAATGAGACACGAATCAGGGCCTCTATTTCTATTCTTCTTATTCATTATTTGTATTACTGTTGCACCCCAAGACTGGCACCTCATAGTGGTACACAGTGTACAAACACATTAAGTGACAGCAAAACAGAGGCAGAGGAAAGGTGAGGCAACTTGCTCAAAGTAGTAATACTGAAAAGATTCATTTTCAAAAGAACCATCAGGAGAAATCCTAAAGCTGTGATCTGTAATGAGGAATAACCTCTCTCTGCATTTTTAAAGGGTTTGCAACCCGCTCTCTCTGCAATTTTTTAAAATCATCCTGTTTATTAAATATGCTGAACTAAAGGCACTAATGCTCTTTTTCCACAGAACTGATATAGCGTGGACAGGAGCTGGACAGACTTCCCCAAATTGTGCCACCACAAGCTCTTTCCAGCACATTCACTTCTGTAAGTGAGAGAATAATTTCACAGACGGCCAATAACTGTAATAAAAAACTGTGGAGGTGGGTTTTTGTGATGCTGGCACCGTCCACTGGGAAGTGGACCGAGATCATGAACTCATTTTTCACAGGCCAATCACTATCAGAAGGTAAACGTGTTGTTACTGCCATCATGAGTGCAATCTGAACCAATGACCTAGTGGTTAAAAACTCTCAAACGCATTTTGTCCCCTCATTCAAGTGAGCTGATCACTAGGGAGCACTATAAAGACCTCATGCATCACAAAACTCTGTACAGTCAATTATATAACTCCCAGCTACTGCCTGCCCTCACCTTTCCGTCAGCTCACTTCATAAAGCAACCCACGTGGTTGAGTGGGCAACCAGGGGCCCAGCATTCATCTCTTCACTAGACCCTGATCTGGCAAAAGGTTTCTAATAGCAGCAATCAGCAAATGCAGTCACCAAGCCACGCAGCTCAGATGCTAAGGATTCCTGTATTAGCTTTCTCAGGTGCAAGAATTAAGCCCATAAATTGTACTGAGTTTACCATTTTAAAAGTGTATCACTGGTTATGACCTTACTGAATGCCAGAAAAGGATGAGGTGAACAGGAAAGACACACTGAAAACAGTAAGAGGAATAATAAAGCAATCCATCCTTATTGTCTGCTGCTTGAATTATGACTGTACCTGCCATGCTGTAAGACAAGAAGTGCACATGAGATGTCCACAAGGCTCAATCTTCACATCTTTATCATTCTCTGCACAGATTTTACACAGCTGGAAAGTGGAACCCATTTCACAGTACAATTCATATTGTTCCTGGAACAAGAGAAAGTCAAGGTCAGTGTCACTAGTATGATCAGTAAATAGTGAAATATGCTTAAATACTACTTATGGCAAGCACATTATACTGGACTTCCCACCTGGCTTACAATAGTGCTGTGTACTACTAAGAAAGGTAACATCTATTTGACAGCCATATGGAGGTTACAGACAATCCAATTTTTTTTTTTTTGCTTCTTAAAAAATACATTTAATAGACCTGTTCTTCTAATGCCATTTCTATAAACATTATCAATAAAATAAAACTTGTGTTTCTAAATTATCTCACTATTAGAAATATATTCAAATTATAAAAAAGGAACATTTATTAACTCCATCATCAACTTTTAGGACAACAAGTTACTTTGGAAAATTTAGGGGGGAGGGGTCCAGAATCTAATAATAAGTATCATTAATAAAATCAGAAACATGAAAAAAAACTGGACTGCACAGCTCTGTTCCTGGCTCTCAGGTTTTGTGTGTGTAAGTAGCTTTGACGTTGCTTTAACTCCATCATTCCACAGCTTGGAGTTTGGGAAGCTGTGACCTGGCTTCTCCATGTAATCCGTTATTACAGGGGGCTGTGCCTTTCTCAATCGTCATTTCAATGCCAAGGAAAAGATACTGCCTTCCTTGTTTGTAATTTAGAAGAGGAAAATGAACAAGGGTCTGGAGGTCACAGGGGAGGATGAATAGGAGGTAAATTATGACTCACCGTAACAGTGATTTTTATGTAGTTTATTTTTAGTGTGAATCTAGTGCTGATGCAAACTGCTAGACTGACAGCTGCGAGGAGCCAATTCCTTTATTTAGCCACAGAACACATACAGTACGGTCAATGGAAACATGAGCTTCCCCAATCTGCCCTCACGTGCCTCAACACACATACAGAGAGACCACCCCTTACAGACACACTGAAAACAGCAAGGGGAATAATAACAAGGGGAATAGCGTAACAAGAGAAACTCATTCTGCACATCTCATTCAGTCTTTAGCCTCCCCATAAGACTGCCAACGTGGGTGCCATCTGCGATGGTGATTATGGGGATGTGCTCACCGTCTATTTGGGAATGGAGATTGAACTTCATTTCTTGTATGCTACTGAACAATAACTGATGGCACAGACTCGCTGAATGGCATTTACCTCATCCCCTCCCACCTGTCTATTTCAATTGGAAGCTCTTGGGGGAAGGGTCTCTTTCTAGCACTGTGTATTTGTTCAGTAATCATCATAATGGGGCCCTGATCCCAGTAGAGGCCACTAGGAGCTACTGTAACACAAATAACTCAAGTTTATGGCTTCATGGTGAGTATTTGGGTAACGTGCATACCAATTTTATAGCTGTGTGTGTCTGGAAGTATTGTGTGTGCTCGCTGTGCTGTTGGGGCAGGCAGTGCTGCCTGACTCCCCAGGCAGCCAACTGTAACAAACTGTAAACTGATGACTTGGGCGAGAGTGTGTAGGGGGGAGGGATAGCTCAGTGGTTTGAGCATTGGCCTGCTAAACCCAGGGTTGTATGTTCAATCCCTGAGGGGGCCATTTAGGGATCTGGAGCAAAATCAGTACTTGGTCCTGCTAGTGAAGGCAGGGGGCTGGACTCGATGACCTTTCAAGGTCCCTTCCAGTTCTAGGCGATAGGATATCTCCATTAATTTAATTTTAATTTAATTTAATTTAATTTAGTTCTGGGAGATTTTTGCTGATTTGTGCAGGTGAATGAAAGGTGTGTGCTGAGGTGAGAGGCTACATGTATTTGGTGTTACTCTGTGTGTGTGTGTGTGTGTTCATTTGTCGTGGTAGCAAATGAGGGGTGTGTGCTGCAGTGAGGGAGAGTGTGTGTGTTTGGGGTCATTTTGTGTGCTAGTTCAGGTGATTTATGTCTACAGGTATGCTGGGAGATGTGTTGCCCTGGGAGGTTTCTGTTTAGTTGTGCAGGAGGCGAATGAGGGGTGTGTGCTGCAGTAAGGGGCTATTGTGGGTCCTGGTTGTGTTGATTTGTGCGAGTGGCAAATAAAGGGGCATGCTGCAGTGAGCGGCTACTGTGTGGGGGTTTGTGTCTGGGGGTTGTGCTGGGGAATTTTGTGTTGATTTGTGCAGGTGGGGAATGTGCTGTGGTGAGGGGCTGTGTTATATAGAGGGGTATGTTGTGTGGTTCTGTGGGTGGTTTTGGAGAACTATGGCAGTTGGGCCAGGTAAATTGGCTGTAAAGTGAGCATGGTGATTGGTTGAGTTACCTCTGATATCACAATGGTCTAGGACTCTTGGCATGGCATAGATACACGCCTTACTGCAGCTGTACACAGCCTGGGTGTAATACTTAAGGTCAAAATGACTGTGAAATTAAAAATTGGATGATAACAGACCACAAAGCCCACTGATGATTAAACCTGGTGATATTCTGAACAAAACACACTCAACCATGCTGGTAGCGGTTTCCATCACTTCACACTGACTCAACGGACATTCTATCTTCAGAGTGATAAGACAGACAAGATAAGACAACCCTGGAATCTTTATATATAATAGATGAAACACAGATATAGCAAAAGATTCCAGAATTGAGAAAGGGTTTGAAGGTTGGCAGGCAAATTATTTACACTGTGATACAGTTTTTAGTACTAAGGAAAGGAGGTACACAAGTTTAGGAAAAATGGAATAAATTAAGGACCCAAGTCAGATGGCAATAAGCAGATGGCAATAAGGTACTGGGGAAAAGTAAAGAGCATGCCCCAGACGCTCAGCTGCCGCCAGTACGCACCAAGCACAGTTGTGGTGCTTCCCCACAGATGAGCCATGAGCAGCAACTTGTTCCTGGAGCCAGTTCTACATAGTTTCTGTCATAGTTTCTAGCAACCCCAGCGGTGTTCTAACCTACACGAGTTAGGTATGCTTGAAGGGATCCCGGGTTCATGGACAACAGCGGCATTCCAGCCACATCCCCAGTACTGGAGAAGGTGACTGGGAGGGTTCTAGAATAGAGCCAGCTATGCTGGATTTATGCCACCTAGGGATTCCCTCATACCAGGGGAATCAGCAGCAGTCAGTTAAACCAGATTTCCAGCTGCCAGAGCCAAGCAATGCAGCTAGAATAAGAGGTGAGGATTTGCCCCTTTGACTTCAACATACATCAAGACTGACCTTTGGAGAAGAAAGGAACTATGCAGAAGAGCAGTAGGGGGTTCTTAAACGATCAAAAAGGGCAAGAATTTTGGGCCAGGTGGCCTTTTCCTGCATGTAAAAACATCTACATAGCCCTAGGCTTCATTCTTTCAACATTAGTACAAAGAACACAGGGAGAAGAAGGGTGTCAGCCTTCTGGAAGTTTCCACACATTCCTCAGACAAACAATCATTTTAGAAGGTCTCCTACTCAGGGATAGACATTTTAATAATGAGTTCCCACTAATCCGACGAGTTGCAAATAACATTTTTCTTCCTGTAAATTCTGTAAACGTGGTACACAAACAGCATTTAGAACTGCCAAAGACCCAATAGGTCACCTGGGCCTTCCTCTGCAGTCAACGCAAGAATATTTCATCAAACATTGTACAAAGTTGTGTCTGGTCAATATAAGCACTTTCCAGCTCTTCCACAACTTCCCTGGAGACTATCCCAAAGTTTATAGATGTCGCTGTCAGGAAGATTCTCCTAATAACTAGCCTATAATCTTCCTTTCCTTCTAATTGTGTACCATTGTACAAAGGGGTATAATTCCCTTTCCTCTAGTTTCAAATATCTGCAGACTGGTGTCATGCCACTGCTAAGCCAAACTATACATATATTTAGGTATTTTAAGTTTCCCAAATAAGTCATTCCCTTCAGCCCTTTAATAATGTGTTCCTTTCCCCTGAATTCCCTCCAGTTTGTACAGCACACACAGGGGAAAATAAGACACACACTAGGAAATGGTAACCTTCCGATAATACCCCATGTACTTTCTTTCTGCAAGCTCTATACAGTTGGATATTCTGACTTCAAGGTGACTTCCAAGCCTTACTTTACTTCCCAGTCCACACATCACTATTACAAAATATTAAACTTCATAACCCTTCAGCACACAATGTACGAAAATGTTTAGCAGTTGTGAAAATTTCCCGCTCCCAAAACATGGTTAAAACAAAACAACTTAAAAAAAAAGAAAAAGGGAGACATCTGAATTACCATTATCTTTAGATTTTAAGACTTGCCATCCAATTCTTTCTCAAACCGCTTTTTGGTCAACCACATAATCTTAATAATGTTTCTCTAATATTTTAATAAAAACTTATCACCGGCGGATAGGGCACCAAGCAAACAGGGAACAGAATTTGTAACATGCAACATACCTGTGTAACTTTTATGTGATCATGTGGAGTAGGTTCACATAATCCTGTCAGATCAGGATTATAACTTCGTCCATCTGGGTACAGATAGCTGAATTACACAAATTATTATTAAGATTTATATGCCCACAATTTTCATGGTTAAAGTAAATCTATGAAATTCTGGATAGCCAATAAGGAAATATCGGATATTGATTAAAATGTATCTTATCTCTCCTGAGCATACTCCCAATTTCTTTGAACAATTGGCAATTGGTTAAACAGAATTGAATTATACTAAAATTATCCTTGGCACTATCTTAGGTCATCTTGCAACAGAATATGCTTAGTTGGGCCCGCATATCCACACAGAGTCTCGGTGATCTCAACACCATCTGCATAGTTCTAGTTGCTCAGTGTGATGCATGTAGCTGAGAATTCAGCACAATGGAACACAAATGATAGCAAGGGAAGAATACTGTATCTATGTTTATATTTAAGTAAATAATGAAAAGAGACTATATTTAGAGTGCATGGGCTTAAAATGAGAATAGCTAGGGATATTAAAATAGTAGGGTAAGGAAGAAAACTATTTTGATGTTAGTTAAGGTTCAATTGAGTTTCATACTGAAAGCAGGGATTCAACCTCATTGTAACATTTAAAGCACCCTCCCTCCCCCCTCCACACACACCTTTGAAAATCAGTTTAATCTCAGCTGGGACCATATATTAAAATGGATAAATCATAATGATATCATTATTGCATGGTGCCACTAAAGGGCAGAGTTAAAGTTGCCTGGGTCTCCTGACTGGGTATTTCCATACCTTAACGTATCTGGGTTTAAAACACTTGGATTTGGGATAATTACAACATTCCTGTAATGCACTCACCCTAAATGACTGATATGTACTCTCAACCTTAACTCTATTTTTCTGTTGTTCTTGTCTAGAAACGTTATAGTAGCAACAATAAAACACATCTTCTGTTTTACAAGACAGGAATCCTGATACTTTCTCAGATAAAACCACTTAGCATTCAACATTTTAAATTATCCTTTTAATTGAATTAATTGGGTGATGAAGTAGAGCAGCAAACTTGGATTTACTTTTAAAAGTAATCCAAAAGTGTAAAAACACACCCCGCAAGAGTGATACAGATGCCTATTTGTGACACTCACCACATAGAACCGATGTACTCTTAGAAAAGTTACAATTTTGCACAGAACTTTTACATTCCTGAGACCTTTATAAAAAGATCAAACTTCTCAGGGAAAACCCCAGAAAACCTGAAGTTTGGTGCG